GCGAAAAACCGCGTACTCTGATATAGTAGTAAGTCGGGGTGTCACAGATACTCACACGGAGATCACCAATGATGCTTTCGATCTTTGCTTTCTCATCGCAAAATAAACTCCACACGTCCTTCGCAATCTTCCTCCGATTAGGAATCTTATAACGAGGTTGAAGATCATGAATTAATTCTTTGAAGTCCGGTTGCTCTACGGTTCGAAAAGGCATCTCCGCTTTGATTATCCACTTCACACACATGTTGTCGAGTCTTTTTTGGTTAAAGTCGGAAATTTTTACTTCACCTCCCATCATCGACTGAGTTAATGTGGGTTGACTCTTGTCCATCACCACGCGAAGAGGAGAACTCTCACACCTATAATACAAAAAGTAAAGTTTGATTTAGCATTAAATTAACAGGAAAATATTTTAATATTGAGCAAGAAAAAAAAATAGTGATGGACCTAATGGTAGCATGAGGAAAGTTTGATTTAGCATTAAATTAAAGTTTAATGTTGAACAGGAAAAAAAAAAGAAGAGGAGAACTCACACCTATAATACAAATGATTGAGAAGGCCTCTAGTTCCATTCCTTTTCGAATCGGCCGTCATTTGTAATTCACAATGTTCGCAAATAGCAAACATCTCCTCATTTCCTTCATCATCGTGAATAATTTTCCTAACACAATGATCCCAAGAAATGCTCCTCTCCTTTCTCTTTGAGGTATTGCCTTTTTGTGAAACATTCATGTTTCTCGAGATTTCTTGAGTTTGATTATCTCCGTCTTTCATTTCAATGTCATTGACATTGGTGCTTAGAGCCGGATTACTCGAACTCACACTCTGACTCTCCATTCCTAATACAAAATCAAGTATATATATATCAAATTAAACCGAGAACATCGATAATAAATAAACACATACGGAGGGACAAATAATAACAATTAATGGCAGTGTGAAATAGAATCAAAATATAGAGGTTTTTTTCGCTAATGACATTTATATTAGTTACTTTGTGGATAAACTAACTAAACCGTGAGAGGGTATTCTTTGAAAATGAAATCAGCTCGAACCAATTTAACTAACTGGCCTAACAGTAGTAAGAATAATTAAATCAGAACAAAAAGGAGACAAAGGAAAAGACCTCATCCTCCAAGAAACTGACTCCAACATTTCGCATACATAGCTAACAAAAGAAAGATGGCTACGAAATAAAGAGATCAACAGAAAAAAAATACAGAATATTAAACTTGTGCTTATCCTACTAAAAACATAAACAGTGGCAGTGTATTATAGAATCTAGATTTATAGAACAAAATAAATCAATGAATTTCACAGAACAACGAGAACAAAATACACTCCTAATCATAGAACAACAAGAAAAAAATACATCAACACTCTACAGAAATAAATCAATGAATTTCACACTCCTAATCAAATCAGAAAAATTTCCCTCCTCTACATGACTCCAACTGGCCATGAAAGACCCAAACTTCTCATCAACACTACTAAATCCTACTTATAAATCCTCCTCTTTTTTTGTTTTTCCAAGAAAAAAAAGACCCTATATAAACACCATCACAATTCACAACTCTAAATCTTTCCTCCCAACATCATGATGCAGTAGCAATCCTATCCCTCGCTTGCTCGGCATTGATCGACCTCACGCCATTCTCAGGTGCCACCTCATCGTCAAAAAGCTCGAACCTCAAATCCAAACTAAAACCCTCGTTCCTCATCTGAAATTATTGTTTTTGTTTTTGGGTTTGTGGGTTTATATTATTTCAGCTCTTTATCAAAGACCCAAGCTTGATTCTTGCAAATCGACACAGACTCTACGCAAGAACTAATCTTTTTTTCTCTTTACACTTCGATTTTCATAAAAGCCAATAATTAGGAGGAAAGAGGATCACATTTTTGGAAGTAAGATAAGAATAAAATACCTGGTGCTTGGTGACGCGGAGGCGGCGGCGGATGGCACGGGTCTGCGACGGCGGATGGCGGATGGCACGGTGACGACACTGACGAGGCTGCCCTAATTTACTCTTGTTCGAAGAAGAAGAGGAATAACCGAATAAGAGATAGGTTAAGGTTTTCTCTTTTAACTTATATATATATATATATTAAGTTTTTTTTATTAGCTTATCGGTTCGGTTCAGTTTTACCGAACCCTAATGGGTTCGGAATCGATACCGAACCGATAACTTATCGGTTACTGAAATTCGGTTACCGATACACATGAGTCGGTTCGGTTCAGTTTTTTAGCACATCGGTTCGGTTCGGTTTTTGGTTTTCGGTCAAAAAATACCAGCCCTAATTATGAATACCAATCACAATTCACAACTCACAAGTCAAAGATATATCCAATTCATCACCAATAAAATTATAAAATAGCTCAAACTCAAAGCATTCGTCCACCGCTCGTCTACTCCTACATAAGAAAAAAAATAATGCATTAAGATAATAAATAATATTATTAAAGTTTAAAAGAAAGAATACTAATTATAATAAAATAAAGAATAAGAACCTCATCTATTAATTTGCTCGATGATGTAGCACCACCACCACGTCCACCACGGTTTGATCGAACCCTTCCCCCTCTTCCCCCTCGAGATGAATGTGACGGTAATTTTTTAACTCTGGACTCGGGTGGATTTGCACTTTTCGATGGAGGTGGTGGCATTTCATTTGTATTGAGAATATCTATAAAATATTACAAATAAGTCAATAAGCAAAAAAATATTTCATGCACAATATAAATTTCAAAATATTAATAAAATGGTTACTTACTTTGTTCCAATTGTTCGAGTTCCATGTAGAACTCAAGCTCTTCTTCCGTAGGCTCCTTGTGAAATTGAAATTCCTCTCCTTTAAGCCAATCATTTGTGCAAACTAAGGCCTCGACCATCCTGGATGTCAAAGAAGCTCTAAACGGATCCACAATCCTTCCTCCAAGGCTAAAGGCATTTTCACTAGCAACGGTCGAACTAGGAAAAGCAAGTACATCCTTAGCAACCTTGGAAAGAATAGAGTAGTTTGAGATTTTACTTTTCCACCACCCCAATAAGTCGAAATCCTCATTCTTTGTACTTTCATATGCATCATTAAAGTACTTGTCAATTTCATTAGCTATCTCTTTGAGTTTTGCTTCATTTCTTTGCTTATTAAGTCTCCGCTCTATCCGAACTTCCACATCATCATCATCATCACCATCATCATCACCAAGATCAACACCATCATCCACATCCTCATGCACATACACATATGACTTTTCAGTTCCTTTGTAAATTTCATACATAATATACAAGTGTGCTTTCACCCGACTCTTGAGGTGCTCAACTTCATTAAGAGTGTAGCCAAGCTCCCCTAATTGCAACTCCATCAATTGAAACTTATATCGTGGATTAAGGGTTTGGGCTACAAACATTAACATGTTCATATCTTCCAAAGAGCCCCAATATTTATCAAACTTCCTCTTCATAGAAGTAGCCACATTTTGCAACACAATATTTTTCTTATCTCTAATTCTAGCCTCAATCTCAATCTTCAAGTTTATCAAGATTTTTAGAACAAGATGCGAGGTCGGAGTCTTGGTGGCACTAAGTTTGATGGTGGCATCATAGAACTTCTTGAGAAAATGTGCAAATCCCATAGCCTTTTCCCAATCTTCATCCGTCGGAGGCCCCACTCTTCCATCTTCAAAGTACACTTAAATGGCGTAAATTCTTCCACCATCCTTGCAAATACACCTTTAAACTTGTAAGCACCATGAATCATGATATATTTGGCATTCCACCGAGTCACAACATCCATCGGGATAGTGGAGATTTTGTCCTTCTTCTCTAAAACCGCATACTCCCGAAACTTATCCAACCTCGCACTTGAAGAATGAATATACTTCACACAATTTCGGATGGCTTCCATGGAATCTACTAACTCTTTCATTCCATCCTTCACAATCAAGTTAATTATGTGACAAGCACACCTCATATGCAAGTTTTCATCAAGCATAAGACTATCACTATCATGCTTCCGGAGTTGCTTCTTCAAATACTCCACGACCACATCATTGGAGCTCGCATTGTCAACGGTAACGGTAAACACCTTACTTATGCCCCATTCGACCAACTTCTCTTCGAGACACCTTCTTATGTCTTCACCCTTATGAGAAGTAATCTTACAAAAGTTGAGCACCCTCTTGTGTAAATGGAAATCCGAGTCGATAAAATGGGCAGTCACCACCATGTAATTGATATTTTGGATAGAGGTCCAAGTATCGGTTGTGATACTCACACGGAGATCACCAATGATGCTTTTGATCTTTGCTTTCTCATCGCAAAATAAACTCCACACGTCCTTCGCAATCTTCCTCCGATTAGGAATCTTATAACGAGGTTGAAGATCATGAATAAATTCTTTGAAGTCCGGTTGCTCTACGGTTCAAAAAGGCATCTCCGCTTTGATTATCCACTTCACACACATGTTGTCGAGTCTTTTTTGGTTAAAGTCGAAAATTTTTACTTCACCTCCCATCATCGACTGAGTTAATGTGGGTTGACTCTTGTCCATCACCACGCGAAGAGGATAACTCTCACACCTATAATACAAAAAGTAAAGTTTGATTTAGCATTAAATTAACAGGAAAATATTATAATGTTGAACAAGAAAAAAAATAGTGATGGACCTGATGGTAGCATGAGGAAAGTTTGATTTAGCATTAAATTAAAGTTTAATGTTGAACAGGAAAAAAGAAGTTGAGGAGAACTCACACCTATAATACAAATGATTGAGAAGGCCTCTAGTTCCATTCCTTTTCGAATCGACCAGCATTTGTAATTCACAATGTTTGCAAATAGCAAACATCTCCTCATTTCCTTCATCATCGTGAATAATTTTCCTAACACAATGATCCCAAGCAATGCCCCTCTCCTTTCTCTTTTTGGTATTGCCTTTTTGTGAAACATTCGTGTTTCTCGAGATTTCTGGAGTTTGATTATCTCCGTCTTTCATTTCAATGTCATTGACATTGGTGCTTAGAGCCGGATTACTCGAACTCATACTCTGACTATACATTCCTAATACAAAATCAAGTATATATATATATATATATATATATATTAAATTAAACCGAGAATCGATAATAAATAAACACATACGGAGGGACAAATAATAACAATTAATGGCAGTGTGAAATAGAATCGAAATATAGAGGTTTTTTTTTTTGCTAATGACATTTATATTAGTTACTTTGTGGATAAACTAACTAAACCGTGAGAGGGTATTCTTTGAAAATGAAATCAGCTCGAACCAATTTAACTAACTGGCCTAACAGTA